GCATTTACTTCTCTTACAACCCCATCTATAAATATATTAAACAACCACGGTGACATCACACATCCTTGTCTAAGGCCTACTTTTACTGGGAAAAAATTTCCCTCTTTCCTACATACTCTAACTTGAGCCTCACTATCCTCGTAAAAACTCTTCACTGCTTTCAGTAACCTACCTCCTACACCATACACTTGCAACATCTGCCACATTGCCCCCCTATCCACCCTGTCATACGCCTTTTCCAAATCCATAAATGCCACAAAGACCTCTTTAGCCTTATCTAAATACTGTTCACTTATATGTTTCACTCTGTAAACACCTGGTCCACACACCCCCTACCTTTCCTAAAGCCTCCTTGTTCATCTGCTATCCTATTCTCCGTCTTACTCTTAATTCTTTCAATTATAACTCTACCATACACTTTACCAGGTACACTCAACAGACTTATCCCCCTATAATTTTTGCACTCTCTTTTATCCCCTTTGCCTTTATACAAAGGAACTATGCATGCTCTCTGCCAATCCCTAGGTACCTTACCCTCTTCCATACATTTATTAAATAATTGCACCAACCACTCCAAAACTACATCCCCACCTGCTTTTAACATTTCTATCTTTATCCCATCAATCCCGGCTGCCTTACCCCCTTTCATTTTACCTACTGCCTCACGAACTTCCCCCACACTCACAACTGGCTCTTCCTCACTCCTACAAGATGTTATTCCTCCTTGCCCTATACACGAAATCACAGCTTCCCTATCTTCATCAACATTTAACAATTCCTCAAAATATTCCTTCCATCTTCCCAATACCTCTAACTCTCCATTTAATAACTCTCCTCTCCTATTTTTAACAGACAAATCCATTTGTTCTCTAGGCTTTCTTAACTTGTTAATCTCACTCCAAAACTTTTTCTTATTTTCAACAAAATTTGTTGATAACATCTCACCCACCTCTCTCATTTGCTCTCTTTTTACATTGCTTCACACTCTCTTTAACTTCTCTCTTTTTCTCCATATACTCTTCCCTCCTTGCATCACTTCTACTTTGTAAAAATTTCTCATATGCTAACTTTTTCTCCCTTACTACTCTCTTTACATCATCATTCCACCAATCGCTCCTCTTCCCTCCTGCACCCACTTTCCTGTAACCACAAACTTCTGCTGAACACTCTAACACTACATTTTTAAACCTACCCCATACCTCTTCGACCCCATTGCCTATGCTCTCATTAGCCCATCTATCCTCCAATAGCTGTTTATATCTTACCCTAACTGCCTCCTCTTTTAGTTTATAAACCTTTACCTCTCTCTTCCCTGATGCTTCTATTCTCCTTGTATCCCATCTACCTTTTACTCTCAGTGTAGCTACAACTAATATATAACAGAAAAATGTCCCTCTTAATTAACAAGAAAAATAACGAAAGCTCTCACACTGCCAATATTAGTATGGTATATGCATATCGTATCTGAAAAAGATGTGGTTGCAGCATAAAAAAAAAAAAGTCCTCCAAATACTGACCTGCTGTCAAAAAAATGACAGTATCTAAAAGTACCATATATTATATAATGTTAAGGTGTATGTGCTAAGAAAACATGGCTCAAGTAATTTTTACTCTTAATGTTTTTAAAAAGACGAGTCATTACTGAACAAGGATTTGGTCAAGCGAGAGTTTTATCAAATGGTATAGAGGCAGACAACACAACATAAACTTTTATACCCTATCACCAAGGCACACAGGAAAGAGTAGCCCATGTTACTTACATCAACTCAAAAAATATCCTTAACTTCCCTTGAATGACTCTATAGCTGCAGTAATATCAAAGTTCCAATCTGAACTAGCCCTGCACAAAATGTGCCATATATTGCAAGTATGAAACTATGTGATATCCATGGAAGAATTCAAGAACACACACACACATCTGCTGTTATATAAAAGTAAGGTGAGAAGAGGAAGACACTAAGACAAGACACCTACAAGAAACTGTTAAATACAACACACCACTCAACAGAATCAAGGAACATTCAGCATTGTATTCCTCATTAAACTCATTCTTTATAGGGACAATAAGCACCCACCTCCCACCTACTCATCACTTTCCAACAATTTACTCTTTGTGATCAGGTATGCAAGTCAGAATTCCATGCTGCTCTCTAACTATAAAACTTGCACTGTATTGAAATACTGTCCAAGGAAGACTCATCTTGTTAAATGTATTGTTTCTTTCATTTAAAATGTGCTTAAACTACTTTCATATTACCATGAAGTGACTAGATATAATTGCCTTGAATAATGCATTCAACAAAACTAATTTAATTCAGTAATCAATGCCGTAATATGTACAGGATAATGAGTAACATGCATGCACGCACACGCAAGCACATGCACGCACACGCACATATGCACATGCATGCGCACACACACACACACACATGTAAAAGTGGAAAAAATTCAGAAAGAACAGATAAGAACAGAGAAATGAGCAGATTGGCCAGAAACAAATATGTTACAGTGAGGAGAGAAGCTGAGACAATCTGAGCAAAACATAACACAGGCCTGAACAAAGGTCTGAACTAAAACTACTTCACAATCACATCAGAAGACAACAAAAAGGAACCAAGTAATTCAACTGAGGAAAGAAGGAAGGACAGCTTTCAAACATTGACAAGGAAGTGTGTTGACAAAACTATCTGAAAAGGTCTTCTCAGTGAAAAGTGGAGCAGTACCAGAGAGAGTAAGGAATAAGGGGGCACTGACACGCTCTGGATGCCATCCACACAACGGGGAAAAAGGAAAAGAAACTTTTGATGAGTCTGGATACATCGAAGGCAATGGGACCTGATGTATTAGCACTAAGTCTGCGAGAGGGTGAAGAAACATTGTCTCAAAACTAGTTATGATCTACAGTAAATCAATTGATATGGGTCAATTACCATTGATGATCTGAAAGACAGCAAATATAGTTGCTATACCCTATATTTAAGAAAGTAGACAGACTACAGACCAGTTTGTTTGACATGCATACCTTGCAAGGTTTTGGAGAAACTTACCAAGGGAAAAGTGGTAGAACACTTGAAGAAAAGTAGTTTCATAAACCATAACCAGCATGGGTTTAAGGACAGTAAATCTTGTCTAACTTGCTGAGTTGTATGACACAGTAACAGATGTTCAACAAGAGAGAGACAGAGGGTTGGGTTAACTGCATTATTTTAGACTGCAAGAAGGCATTTGATACTGTACTCCACAAGAGGTTGGGTCAAAAATCTGAGATTCAGGCAGGAATAACAGGGAACACACTCCAGTGTATCAAGGATTTTCTTAGGGAAAGGAAGCAAAGAGTGACTATCATGAAAGAGATGTCAGACCTGGGTAAAAGTAACAAGCATGGTTCTGCAAGGATCAGTATTAGGACCAGTACTGTTTCTGAGTTATATGAATGACATTCCATACGAGACTGATTCAATATATCCCCGTTTGCCAAAGATGTAAAACTAATGAGGAGAATAAAAACAGATGACAACAAGGACAAATTGCAAGAGTGGGTCAGATAAATGGTTGCTTGAATTCAACCTTAGTATATGCAAGGCCATGAAAAATTGGAGGAGCAAGAAGACCAGAAATGAGGTATAGACTAGGGGTACACAGACTGCACTCAAAGAGAATGACCCTGCAGTCAATGCTCGCCTGGGGAAATCTAAGAGTAGCCTTCAGGAATTTCAACAGTCATTCCAGACCCTTTAAAACTGTATGTTAGGCCCATCTTGGAGTATGCAGCACTAGTATGGAACCCACACCTGAAAAAGCATGTTAAGAAATTGGGGAGTGTGCAGAAGTATGCAACAAGGCTTGTTCCTAAGCTAAGGGGCATGAGCTACAAGAAGATTCTCATGCAATTGGACCTAATGACAGTGGAGAACAGAAGAACCAGGTATGGCATGATAACACACATACTCAGGGGAATTCATAAGGTAGACAGGGATGAACTGTTTGACACAAAAAAACAGGAAATCAGGGACACTGTTGAAAGTCAAAGTCACAGATGAGCCACTGGGATGTTAAGAAGTACTCATCAGTCTCCGAGTGGTCAGGAAGTGGAATAATCTTGATCAGGAAGAACTGGAGGCAGGCTCCTTATATAGTTTTAAGAGCAGGTACGATAAGGTCCACAAGGGCTATGAGGAAATGAATCTAAAGAGTAGCAAATTACGAGACCGGGTCAGGATCTGAGAACAGACCTCTGCAACTACAAATAGGTGAATAAACAGTATTGGTATGAATCAACAATCAAAATCAGACTACTAAATAGTATTAATCTGTGGTGAATTTTAAGAAGCTTGATCCACAACTAACTAAAATATGTCTAACTAAAAAAAGTAAAGTGTAGGTTACACCGAGAAGATATAATTAATAATTTGTACAGAGGCAGTGATTGTGCAGCGATTAATTCAGAAAATGTCTACCAATCTGAGAAATTTATTTCTCGTCTCCAAGCTGAACACATTTCTGCTGAGGTTTCCAAAAGATTTCTACCATCTTCATCCACTCGAAAATCATTCAAAACTGGACCTGAAAATCCTGAAACATTGACTGCTTTTAGTCTGTGTATCCATTCATACAAATAAAATAAAAATTACTCATACTGTACCAACATTTCTTGTAACATACAGAATTAATTAAATGTTATCATGTTCAGAAAATTTATCGTGCATTCAATCACACAACATTAACAATCTAACATGTGTCCAACTGTACACCACAGCAACATCATACACAAAGTAAGCTGATTCTATATACTTCAGAAAAGCTTTAGGTTTACCTCCTACTCCTTTTTGCAGGAGGGCCATTTATGGTGGTCTTTGCTGAATGTTTCCCACAAAATGCAAATTTAACCGTTATCTTACCAGAATTTTTTGAAGAAATTTTAATAGATTTTTTATTCGACTTGGTTTTAGCCTTTGACTCAGTCTTGGTCTCAAACAAAGCCTTTGCTTCTTGACCCTTACCCTCAGTTTTGTCTGTGGCTTTCCTCTTCTTCCCCAGTTCACTTTTAGTACTCTTTGGTGGTTTAGGTGTTTTGGGGCTCTTAGGACCTTTAGGTAATTTTGGAGTTTTGGAAGATGCAGTTTTGGGAGTCCTTGGAGCACCTGGGCCACCTCTAGCAATACGCACTTCACTTGTAGGTGCTTTCTGAGAAAAGACTATCATGGCCATATCCACTTCTAAATTATTTTCTTCACAGTGAATTCGTACTTCATTTTTTGACCGTAGCTTCTTGCCAGTGGGACTGTTGGTGAGATAAGAAAAAAGACTAGACTACTTAATGTCACTTTTAAGAAAAAATATAAATTTATCACTATCCAACACACTATTTCTCACTGAACAATATACTGATGACACTATTAATACCATGGTTATAATTTATTACTCGATCGTGAATTCAACACGGAAGGCAAGTGTAATATAAAAGAGGCCTGGGGACATGAATAATGAACAAGAGAAATGTTTCAGTGCCAGGAATGTCAACATTGCTTATTTAAAACAGTATTTTTTAATTCTGTGTAAAATTGGCCAAATTACCAAATTCTGTGCACTTATAAGATAGTTGTAATAATTGAATGGGTGGTTTCTTGTGCTCAATCAACAGAACGAAAGGCATACTTGTGAAATAGCTAAGAATTTCGTTAAATGGAACACTGGAGTTGGTTTAAAAATAGGATTCAAAGTGGGTGAAATCACCAATGAGTAAATCATGCCAAGACTACTAATTTTGAGGCAGAGCAATTCCACAAGTCTTCCATCAAATTTTGTACTGTTAGTGTCATTACTTTCAGAAGATTCTCTACCATTTCTGAAGGCTTTTTTTTTTTTTTTTAAATATGAACACTGAGAGCAATATTAATTTCAGGAGCCTGGACAGTGAAAGGGTTAACATACTGGCCATCTCCCACCAAGGTAAGGTGACCCTGCCTTGGTGGGAGACAAAGGCAGCTATACTAAGTGTATGCAGAAGTATGTTTGATTTACCTGTCATCCTACATGTTCCTTAGAAAAAAAATGGCAATACTGCTAAAGTGCAAAACTTTAAACAGGCTTCAGTTTCACAGTCACATGAGAGGATGGTATAGCCAAACATTTATGGAAGATCATAAAAAAAAAAAAAACATTTAAAAATATTTACCTGAAGTAGTAAACATCAAGCTTGCCAGCAGAGGCACCAGTTGTCCGCTGTACTACCACCCTTGACCAACCTTCTGGAACTGCTACATCACCAGTATTACTCCTTACTGTCAAAACAAAGAAAGATGGATAGTGGAACTATAAAGAAGTAGCACAGTTCGCATAATATTTTATTATATTATTCTAGAAGAACACAAACATTCAAATTTTTTTTTTTATAATAAAAACCAGCTAATTGTAGACTAAATACCAAAGGAGAGAGAAACTGCTTATACATTATCAATTAATACGCATCAAATATTCAACTCAAAAATATTCTGAATACAGTACAATTAAATTCACAAATAACAAAAAATGCAGTACTGTAATTCATTTGAACATAGTAAAGAGATTCTTAAGATAGTAAAGAGATACCCTGAAACCCTCAAGTATTATCAGAAGATCCAAACAAAATTACTATTCAACTGGATTTAATGACTCCAAATGAGACAAAAAAAAAAAAAAAAAAAACTCCCTCTCTCCCAAATTCTAGAGTCAAATAATTCTCCAAAAAAAAAAAAAAAAAAAAAAAAAGATAAATAACCCTCTCTAAAGCAAATGAAAACCTCCCTCTCACCTACTGACACTTTGAACAAACTTAATAACTTCGATAAAATGGACCAAGTACAGGAGGACCCTGTTTTTCAGCAGTTAGCTTCCCGAACCTCCACCAGTAAGCGAAAATCACCGGCAAGTGGAAAACAGCAGTTTTTTTTCACTATCAAATACATATAAAATGCCTGATAGCATATTTACACTATAATATATTAAGTGCTAAAACAGCTAGGCCTAAAAAATATGATATGAAAGTACAGTCTCTGCTCACTTAGCAACGTACTTGTTTACCGATGCCTCGGACTTATGAAGGGCTCTCTGACCAATATGCATACCTAAATAATGTATATTAGAGTTGATTTCAGCTATTCGGTTTATTACAATATACTATATAAACATTTAAAAATATACTAGGAATGTTATAAATGGTGCAAAGGTGACATTAAAACAATATCAAAAATAGTTGACACAAACCCACTACCATTATAGTATGCTCCTCACTTAGCAATGAATTCATTTACCGACATAGTCTTAGGAACGGAACTCCATCGTTAAGTAAGGAGAGGTTGTACAATGAATGTAGAGTATTGTACATACTTACCTTAAAATATAGCACCCTTCCCTGACGCAGCTGTTGCGTGCATCACGCCAAGAACAGCAGAAAAGCGGAAAAAAGCACTGAACATAATGAACAATGGCTCAATTGAAAAGCGCCAAAAATGCAGGACACTGAAATGAGGGACGCTGAAATGTTTGTCTGATCCAGACTTCATCCTGAACATGTACATTTTCATTGTTCCTGGGCATCAGAACCAATAACTCAGCCTCAATCAGATTGTTATTGTCTGTACAGAAGCTCCCATACCATCATCATCATCTCCAATTTTCCACTGATTTACATTGTTTTCTGCTACAGTGGACCCCCGGATTACGTCATCGGAATTCATAATATTCGGAATAAGTAACTTTTTTTTTGTCAAAATATTGGCTCGGTGATCGTCGGTGAACTTGGTATCAGTCATTTGTCCCGAACATGTCCACGCTGCCCGAGCGGTCTGACACACCATTTACTTCCAGTGTGCCAATGTTTATCAGCCAGTGAGGACAATCCCATGCGTTCATACGATATATTTTGTATTATTCTATTCTTTTTAGTGCTTGCAACTGCTAAATATGCCACCATGGGCCCAAAGAAAGTTCCTAGTGCCAACCAGCCCTTTGGTAAAGGGCTGAGAGAGAGGAGAGAATGTGCCTCTTTCAGTGATTCTGCAATATGTACAATACTAAAGCAGCAGGAGTCGATAAAGGCTATAGCGCCAGCCAGCGATAAAGTGTAGCATTAACAGTGTAGCAAGTAAGTTAAGCAATTAATTGACAGAAAAAGGACAGCATGAAACCGACTCCTCCATTGTTGTTGGAGGTACATAGGGTTACTTACTAACACTGCCACCTCTGCTGCCTCTTGCTGCCGCCTTCACCATCACTATGTAAGGCTTATCTTTCAGTGGCCCTTATACACCCAACAACAAACAACACACCACCACTCGTGACATTCTTAATGCCGTATTTTATTCATTCTAGAGTATATATCATGTTTCTATGTTATTAATATTGTTTATTCTGTCGTATTAGATGAATTGTGCTAGATAAATAAGCCATAGAGCTGATATTAGTGTCATACTGAAGGACTATCTTGTCCTGTCTCCCAACACAATTCCTAACATATGCAAGAAACAGACCTCTCTGGAACACTTTTTTGAGCAACAGAGGTCCAGTGATTATTTAACTGATCCTAGTGGCATTAACCCCTTGACTGTCGCAACCCCAAATCCTGAGGTGTCTCCTGGTGTTGCAAAATTTAAAAAAAAAAAAAAAAAAACTTATGAAATGATAGAGAATCTTTTCCCGATTGTAATGACACCAAAAGAACTAAATTTGATGGAAATCTGATGGAATTACGCTCTCACGAAGTTAGCAACCTCGGCGATATTTACGAATCGGCGATTTCACCAACTCTGAGCCCAATTTTCAGCTAATTCCATTGTTCCAGTTGACCAAACTCATAGCTATTCCTTTAGAACTCCATTTTTTCTATCGATTGAGTACAAGAAACTGCCCATTTACTGATTTCAACTACAGTGGAACCTCTACTTGCGAGCGTGTCCACGTGCGAGTTTTTCCAAATACGAACAGTCGATGGGTTGATTTTTTGCTTCCATACGCGAGCAAAATTTCCACAAGCGAGCAGACCTCAAGGCAAGTTCCTTGACACTGGTGAGGGGCTCTTGCTCTTGATCTCGGGAATTGTATCTCATTTGTTTGTTGGACTATCTTATTGAAACTTGGGCAATGTATGATGGAAAGATGCTTCTTAATGTACACCAAAAATGAAAGAAATCTAAGCATAAATAATGGAGTTCACTTCTCAGCAATTAGCCACCCCTTAGTGGTAATTTCAAATGGTTTTTATGGTTGTATTCTCGTTTTTTTGGTCTCATTTGACAGAATGGAAGATAAATTACAGAAGTAGATATGATTTTGATTGCTTTCACGACGAAAAGTAACTTGAAATAGAGCTCAACCTAAGAGAAATGGTCCATTGCTTGGCTGTTTCAGTGTAAACAAATGATGTCACAGTAAATCTTATATTTTTTGTGTGAATAAAAATTACAAATTATTTATATAATAATAATGATAATAATGATAATAATAATAATAATAATAATAATAATAATAATAATAATAATAATAACGAAAGAAATCTAAGCATAAATAATGGAGCTCACTTCTCAGCAATTAGCCACCCCTTAGTGGTATTTTCGTATGGTTTTTATGGTTGTATTCTCGTTTTTTTGGTAGATATGATTTTGATTGCTTTTATGATGAAAAGTGCCCTGAAATTGAGCTCAACCTAGGAGAAATGGTCCATTGCTTGGCTGTTTCAGTGTAAACAAATGATGTCACTGTCCATTCCAATATGCAGTCGTGAATGGGTTGACATATTTATACAATTATTGCAATAAGGAATAACAGTAAATCTTATATTTTTTGTGTGAATAAAAATTACAAATAATTTATATAGTATTAATAATAATAACAATAATAATAATAACGATAATAATAATAATAATATGTATAATAATGATATGAATAATAACAATACGTATAATAATAATAATATAATACAATAATAATAATAATAATAATAATAATACATATATAATAATAATGTACTACATATAATAATAGACGGCTTCAAAAGGCCGTCACTAGATGGCAGTGTTTACCACAACAAAGAGGGAGAGGTTGTGGCCGCCTCCACCTGTTACATAATGACATATTTTATTCATTCTAGAGTATATATCGTGTTTCTATGTTGTTTATATTGTCTGTTATGTCATATTAGATGAACCGTGATATATAAATAAGCCGTATAGATGATATTAGCGAAATTATTCATGAAGAATTTTGCCCAGTGTCCAGACAAACTCTCGTCCACCGCCGACACCGCCCATACCACTACATGAATGACATATTTTATTCATTCTAGAGTATATATCTTGTTTCTATGTTATTCATATTGTTTGTTATGTCATACTAGATGAACTGTGATAGATAAATAAGCAGTATAGATGATATTAGCGAAATTATTCATGAAGAATTTTGCCCAGTCTCCAGACAAATTCTCGTCCACCGCCGACACCGCCCATACCACTACATGAATGACATATTTTATTCATTCTAGAGTATATATCTTGTTTCTATGTTATTCATATTGTTTGTTATGTCATACTAGATGAACTGTGATAGATAAATAAGCCATATAGATGATATTAGCGAAATTATTCATGAAGTATTTTGTAATAAAGTTGGTAGAATTACCGACAATATGTAAAGTAAAAGGACACAAGTGCAACTAATGTGACATTTTATTGTGGCAACGTTTCGCTCTCCAGGAGCTTCATCAAGCCATTACAAACAATACATGGACACAGAGGGTATATAAAGGCTCAGAGTGAGGTGCAGTACTAGTGAGGTACCATTTAGATGTTCACTAGTGGTGGTAGTAGTAGTAGTAGTAGTAGTAGTGACAAAAGTAGTAGTAGTAATACAATATGGTAGAGCAATTAATTCGTACATGAGTAAAAGGATATAAAAGCTATTACTTGGGTAACATAAAAATAGGTTGGACAAATATAGACTGGAAAGAGGCAGCCTGTTTCAGTGTTCACTCTCTGTAATGTGCTTTGTGTAGTATAACAGGAGAGACTATGTGATGGCAGGGTTTACTGTTTTCAGGAGGATTCTTGCTAAGACTTCAGAGATGGTGAAGCTGCCGTTGTTTTGTTTAATTGTATTCGAATACAATTTTATATCCTTTTACTCATGTACGAATTAATTGCTCTACTATATTGTATTACTACTACTACTTTTGTCACTACTACTACTACTACTACTACCACTAGTGAACATCTAAATGGTACCTCACTAGTACTGCACCTCACTCTGAGCC